ACCTTAAGAAACTGAAAAAGAGCAAACTAAATCCAAAACAGCAGAAGGAAATAATAAAAACTGAAACAGAAATCAGTGAAATAGAAAACATGGAAAAAGAAATAAATTACTTTTAAAAAGTTGCTTCTATGAAAAACACAACAAAATATAGCTGAACTTACCAATAAAAGGAAAAAAATGGAAATTACATAATAAGGAATAAAAGAGGAACCATCAATAACAACCCCCCAAAAATAAAAGGACTACAGGAAATTATCATGATCAAGTCTCTGCCACAAAATAAATAATTTAACATTAAATGGGCTAATTCCTAAAGAAATGCAGATGTTCACATCTGATTCAAAAAATAATAGGAAATGTGAATAGACCTATACTATAACAAGTAAAGTAGCTAATTTAAAATGACTTTTTCTTTGCCTGCAGATTAAGGAAAATATTGAAAGGAAGACATTTTGGTGGCATTCAGGACATCGAGGGTAATGATGATGACAGCTGTGATGGCCATTTCAGCAAAAAGAGTTCAGTGGACTAGGTGCTGGTGTCAGTGCATAGCTATCCAAGGGGAGTACTTCAAAGGTGACTGTAGTGATACTCAGCAATGAGGTATGTAGTACTTTTGCTAGGATGAGTTTGTGAACTTAATTATCAAACCTTGTACAAGATGCTATTAATCAATAAAGGAATGTCAAAAGGTGCTACAGTATGGATGAAATCACCAAAAATTATAGAAACCACATTGAAAGTGACAGTGATACAAAAGCTAAAATTAGTGAGAAATAAAGGGGAACTACATTTATATAGGGGCATGTAGAAACACCAATAATGAGGAATGGTAAGTGATATCCAAAGACATGATGCTCAAAGCTGACCAAGATCCTGGTCTGTCATTTTCCTGAACTCCTCTCTCTCCACAATCCTTCTCCATCCTACCTCAGCCATTCATTGTAGATATGTGCTACATATGTCCTAGACATTTCCAATACTGCATGGCTCCAGTTCTATTCATCCCTTCCATGCTCATAACTCATTCATCCTAGTATCCCAACTCTAACAGTTCTTAGTTCTCCAGACCATTCATCCTATCATTTTCTACGAAGAGTCGCTCTCTTATTTGCTTTCCTCTCTCCTCTTTGCCCAGCTTAATAATAATAGCCTTGTGGTCAATAATTACAAACACTCTTCTGTATAAAAAGTTTGGTTCTTGCCTTCTCTCCCCTCATATTCACTTGGCAAACCTAAATCCCTTCAAGTTCAACTCTCACTCTATTTCCAAATTTACTACCAGCTTCTGTAATTATATAAAATGTTTTCCCATCTGTTATCATACATAACCCATCTATGCTATATTTTAAGTCATTCCTTCCATTTATATACAAATTCCCATACTCCCTAATTTACTCAAAAACATCACTCCAGAAGATCTCCCCTCTCTCCTATATTAATTACTCCCACTCTCTAAATGCTCACCTCATCACCAAACTACATCGTCTTGCTCTCATTTTTTAAAAGACTATTTTCCTTTATTTCCCCCCAAAAGCTACCACTCCTTTCACTGCAGTTTTTTTTTTACTCCACTTCTTCCCAAAGCAACTGCTTAGGTTAGAAATAACTACTATATTATTGAAGCCAGTAGTGAAATCTCAGTCATCACCCTACTACCTAAAAATGAATTCATCTAGACTCAAGGCATTAAATATCACCTAATATGCTTATAAAACCCAATTTTTTATCTCTACTCTGAAGATACAAGTAGCCAGTGCCTACTTAACATCTCTATTTGGATCTCTACTAGAAAATTCAAAATTAGTATTTACAAAATTGAACTCCTGATCGTCCCCAATAACTGCTTCATCCACAGTTTTCCATTCTGTCTAATAGAAATACCATCCTTTCACTTGCAAAGATAAAAACTGTAGAATGCCACTTGCTTTCTCTCGTAACCTACATCCAACCTATTATTAAATGTTATCAGTTCTATCTTCAAAATATATTAATTTTTCTACCACTTTGTACCTCCTGTACTACTACTAGTTTAGTCCAAGTCACCATTATGTTAAATCATCTCTCTGCTTCTATCCTTAAATTCCTACCCAGAGTAATCTGTTTGAATGCATCAGGAAGATTCTTTCTCCTCTAATCAAAATCCTGCAATGACTATAATACCCCACAAAATAAACTGCAAAGGCTCTCCACAAAATCTTGCCCTATGTTATCTCTCTGACCTTATTTCCTACTTTCCTCCACTTTAATCATTCTGTTCTTGCTTTATTGGCCTCATTCCTCAAATATACCAGGAAAGTTCTCACCCTGCACATTAGCTATTACATAGGCATGGAATGCTTTTCCGTATATGCCCCTATGGTTAAGTATCTTGTGAGATTCAAATGCTTGTTCAAATGACACTCTGTCAATGATCCCTAATCTGATACTCTATTTCAACTGGAAACAACACCCATCCTTCATGCTTCCTTCAAAAACCTTCATTCTCCTCACCCTATTCTACATTTTCTTTCTCTGTAGTACTTACCACAACTCACATATTAAATAACCTACTACTTATTGTGTTTATTTTTCATAATCTACCAATGCCTGCTAGAATGTAAGATCCACAAAAAATAGGATATTTATCTGTTTGTTTATTGCTATATCCTCAGCATCAAGAACAATTCCTGGTACACTGAATTCCTTAGTATTGAAATCAGCAAAAAACTATTTTTTGAAAAATATGTACTCTGAATCTTTTACCAAAAGTAAGACTAAAGAAATAGTCATTCATTGACTGAGAAATATATATTGATCACCTACAACTTGCTAGTCTGTAGACTAAAATTTAGCTTTATTTTTGCATATAGATCCTGGTGGAAGCCTAACTACTGTTCTCTATTTCAATCAGGTCTCCTCTCCTTCAACTTATCCTAAACATTTCTACCAGTTATCTTTCCAAACACAAGTAGTATAATGATACTCTTTTGCTTAAAATCTTCCAAGGCATCCCATTGCATTTTGAGATTCAGATGCTCAATTCTAGTCTAATAATATCCCTCCAAAACACACACACACACACACACACACACACACTCACTCTCTCTCTCTCTCTCTCTCTCTCTCTCTTCCTTCCCCCCCCTCCTTCTTTTTCCTTTCCCCCTTCCTCCTGTGTCTGTCTGCCTCTCTCACTCACACACACACATCCTATATAACTTCACAATATCTTCTTATATCCCATACCCTCTGTTTGGAATAACTTACACAAAAACATCCTCCATACCCATGACCTCCAATTTTCTAATATCTACATGGCTAACTCATCCTTAAAAACACATCTCAAGAATTGTGTTCCCTGGTTAAGTTTTATCTGACTCTTCCATACTAAATTAAATATTCTTTCTCTCAGTACCTTGTAGTACCTTAGCACACTTAGAATCTATCTCAGTACTATATGTATACTTACATACTTCTATCAGACTTTAGCATAAAGTATTACAACTGCAGGTTTATTTATTTGTTTCCAATTCTAGTCTATCTCCACCTGTAATTACTTCTGAGGAAAAGGATTTTAGTAGTATTTAAAATAAAATAAAGTTATCGATATTCTTTTCTCTGTTTTCTATAGCATTAATGACAGAGAATCTGGATTCCGAGTTACTAGTTCAAACAGCCACCAAAGAACTGATAGAGTCAGTCCTCCAACAATGTTAGCCAAAATACTACCAACACAGCTGAAACAATAACTTTGCTCAGATACTACTCCCAAGGACAGCTACTCATACCTTTCAATCTTTACTCTGGGTCTTCAGTTACAATGATGCAAAATAAGCTACACAAAGCAGGCAAAATGTGGTCCACTCATCACTTTCTCAATTTTCTTTGACCTTTTACTTTTTTTTTTTTTTCTTTTGAGTTGGAGTTTCATTTTGTCACCCAGACTGGAGTACAGTGGCACGTTCATGGTCACAGCAGCCTTGACCAGCTGGGCTCAGGTGATCCTCTGTCTCAACCTTTCAAGTAGCTGGAACTACAGGCATGTGCCAACACACCTGGCTAATTTTTTTATTTATTGTAGAAATGAAGTCTTGTTAAGTTGCCAGGGCTGGTCTTGAACCCATAGGCTCAGGCAATCCTCTTACCTCAGCCTCCCAAAGTGCTGGGATTATAGGCATGAGCCACCACGTCCAGCCAACCTTTTACCTCTTCCGTAAATTTGTTTTCTCCCTTTTATCTTTCTTCTCATCTCTGTACTTGTTTCCCCTTTTCTATCCCACCACTGAATTTTCTTTCTTTGAATTCTTCTGTTACTGCTCTTTACAGAGAAAATATAAACTATTGACTCCCTCCCTCCTCCTCCTAGTCAGCCCATGGTACAAGAAAGATAATATTTAATGCTAATATCGGCTCTATAAAAATAAAACAACTAGCCAGGCTCAGTAGCTCAGCCTGTAATCCTGCGCTTTGGAAGGCTGAGGCGAGTGGACTGCCTGAGCCCGCAGGTTTGAGACCCGCCGGGACAACTTGGCAAGACTTCATCTCTACAATAAATCAAAAAATCAGTGGGGTGTGGTAGCACGCCTGTAGTTCCAGCTACTTGGAAGGGTGAGGCAGAAGGATCGCCGGAGCCCAGCAGGCCGAGGCTGCGGTGGCTGGGAGCAGCCACTGCACTCCAGTCTGGGTGACAGAGTGAGACTCCAACTCAAAAAATAAAAATAAAAAATAAAACAATTTTACAGGAAGTCCAAATTAAGTATGGCTTTCCTTATATATCTTCAAATAGAATTATCAGTTTACTTTTGCCAATCCCTGCCACATTTACTGAAAAGAAAAACCAGAACCTTATCAAAAAGCATGTCATCATAAAGAAAATTATTGAAATACATGTAATAATTGACATATGAAAGCTCCACTACAATCCTTACTGCAAAAACAATACAAAACCCCAAAATATCAGTTCCAAAGAAAAAAAATACAAGATTATAAAGTAAAATATAAATGAACATAAAACAGATTACCTTCCTTCATTGACAAGTTCAATAAAAGCAAGGCCTGCATTCTTCTGAATAGAATTCTGCCACTCCTAAAAAAATAAATAAATAAATCAAAATAAAGATGAAAAAATTTCACTCAGTAGGTTATTTCTTTTTAAACAGCAACAATAAAAAATATCACCAATATACATTTCAAACCTTAGCTCTTAAAAGTTCTGTCAAACAATACAAACAACCGCTATTGAGAAGTACACTAAACAAGTTAGCAACATTTTTAAATTCAGCATAAACTAAAGGAGCTTCTCTATATTTATCTTACCCTTTTTGTTCTGTACCACTATATACTAATTTAACTGAAATAGTTGGAGTTGAGAATGAAGGCAGAAAAGAAAACCAAGAATACAGATTTTGGTTTTAGTTTTAAAAAAAAAAAAAGTTGTCACCCAAGATAAAGAGAAGAGGAAATTGAGTAGTTCAATAATCCTAAATAAAAGCATATTTTACCATTAAAATTCCTGACTAATGATTGATAAAGAGATAAGAAAAATTAGCAAATTCAGTTAGACCAGTTTTGAGTGGAAAACTGGTAATTAGTAATAAATGGTATAAATCTATTATCTATATTATTCATCCATTTAAAATGTATTCACTAAACTCTATTCACTAAAAAAGTTATCCATTTAAAAACCTAGGAAGAAAAATCAGTAGAGTATGTACAAATAAATTTTTTAATCCTTATCTCAAAACATATAAAATAAGCATAATACAATAAGGAAATGCCTACATGAATGAAATATACTTTGATTTGAGAAATGCCAATGAATGCACTCATGTGTGTACATGTGTATATCTGTGTATATCTATATAAACACACACATATAGTTTTTTTGTTTTTTCTTAAGAACTGGAAACATAAACATAATCTTTACGTTCCTTAAAATGTAAGAAGCTCCTAGTATTCTAAGTATATAATATCCCTCACCTAATCTCTTTTTTTTCTTTCATAAAACCCAAATCAACCCTGCTAGCTTAAACTTTAAGAATGTAAATTTTTATGTAATTTCACCCTAATGTCTATTTTGTTCTACTGCAAATTCTTATTTGATTCAGCCTCACCCTTTCTCTTCTACCTTCTCCTCCTAATCCCTACTTTTGCACTACCCCCTTTTATGTTTTAAAAAACCCAGTTGGGACTAAAATGACTGCATGCCATGATTTTGTTGAAGGGTTCTATTTTATGAATAGTGTCAGTTTGATCATACTAACAGACTATGAAGAATGAAATTAAATACAAAATCAATCAGACATTGGAGAGTACTCACTAGCTAGATCTAGCAGAAAAGAAAAACAAATGTATTGCTGAACAAAGAGCAAGAAATAAAAATTCATAAAATCCGTATTCTCATTATGATTCCGACATTAACAGAATATATCTTTGGACACATCACCTTACATCTCCAAGTCTTAAACATTCCCTTTAAATCCCTTTAAAAGTATCTTTCAGGTATAATTTTTTATTATTTTATAATTTGCCAACATTTAGAAATTAGGTACTCATAAGCCCACAATTTATCCTCTCTCAAAATTCATACTGAATTCATATTTTACTAAAACTATAAAATATAGACAACTAAATTTCTTTCACTGAGGTAAACCAAATCAAGTATAAAATTGAAGTTATTTATCTCATTTAAAAACCCTTTTGTTTGCGTCAAATGAAATGAACAGACAGGTAGTCCAAAAAGAAGTTCAAATTCCACAAAAGAATATATTCCTGAGAGAGGAGCATATGCCATACCTTCCTCTCCTCGCAAAATGTAGGAGGAGGGAGATGAAAAAAAAAGCAGAAATGTCAGATCAATTTTTTTATCTTGATACAGAAGGTCCCACACCTCATTTCCAAGCACAACACAGGGAGATAACAAGTCTCAAGGAGTTGTCCTAAGCCTAGTAATGAGAACAATTGAGAAGAAACAAATTTAATGTCAGATGAACCTAAAATAGCCTCTAACTATCTCATGCCCTAAGAAGATTCAGAAAATAATTCTAGAAAAATGCAGAAATCGTTTAGGATATAAGAAGATGAAGAGAACATAGCTGTGGCATTAGTAAAAAGACAGCAAGTGGTCACAAGGAAGTGTGATACCTCAAGAGCATGCCAAAGACAAGAAAGGAAGCATGTGCTCACTCCTCAGCTCTTATACCCAAAATAACACTCTTGGAAAGCCAAGTGGAAATTGAATATAGAACACCAAAGAATGGGAAGGTGAGCCCTTAAATTGAGTGAGTTTACATTTAGATGATTTAAGAAAAATCTCAAAATGAAAATTAATTTCAGTGAAAGAAAAATGAAAGTTTATTCTCTTGCTAGAATAAAATCAGTAAAAAAACAGAAAGAGAGTAGTATTCTATATAAAAATCTTTAAATTGGTCATTTTGTTTTTGAAAGGATCTACAATTAGGAAGAAGGCAAGGATACCCCTTCTCAACATCACTGTAGAAGTCCTGGCCAATGCAATAAGATTAGAAAAGAAAATGAAAAGTAAGAAGATGAAAAAGGAAAAAATGAAACTATTTGTTTTCAAATAACATAACTCTATATAGACAATCTGAAAGAATCAACAAACACCTGGAATAAACAATATTACCAAGGTTATAGGATACAGGTTAATACACAAAAGCCAACCACTTTCCTATATGTGAGCAGCAAATAAGAGGAATTTGAAATGAAAAACACAATACTATTGACATTACCATCACAAAAAAATAGAACACTTAGGTATAAATCTAACAAAATATGAGAAAAATTATTTAAAAACTAAAGTACAACTAACTAGAAAGATATTCCATGTTTATGAATATAAAGGTTCAATGCTGTCAAGATGTCAGTTCTTTCCAAATTGACCTATAGATTCAGTGCAATCTCAAGCTAAATCTCAACAAGTTATTTTACGGATAGTAACAGAATGATTTTAGATTTTACATAGAGAGGACCTAGAATAGACCATACAATACTGAAGGAGAAGAACAAAGTTGAAAAACTGACAGTACCTGACTTCAGGAATTACCATAATGCTGCAGAAATCATGAAAGGGTGGTACTGCTGAGTCCAGTGGCTCAAGCCTATAATCCTAACACTTTAGAAGGTCAATGAAAGAAAATTGCCTAACCCAGGGATTCAAGACCAGCCTAGGCAACTTGGTGGGACCTCTAATTTTGTATCAAAAAATTAGCTGGGTGTGGTAATGTGCACTTATAGTTCTGGCTACTCGGAAGGCTGAAGCAGAAGGATTGCCTGAGCCTAGCACGTCAACACTGGGGTGGCTGTGAGCACATGCCACTGCACTCGAGCCTGGGTGACTAAGTGAGACTCTGACTCAAAAAAAAAAAGGGTGGTATTGGCAAAAGAAAAGACAGGTCAATGGAAAAGAAGAGAGACTCCAGAAATAGACTCACATAAATAGAGTGAACTGATCTTTGACAAAGGACAAAGGAAATACGATGGAGAAAAGATTGCCCTTTGAACAAATGAACATCCATTTGAAAAACAAAAAAATCAATCTAGACAGATCTCACACCTTTCACAAAAATAAACTCAGAATGGATCACAGACCTAAATGCAAAATGAAAAACTGGAAAATCCCCAGAAGATAACACAAAAGAAAATCTAGATGCCCCTGTGTTTGGTAATGACTTTTTAGAAAGGACCACCAAAATCACATTACATAAAAAAAAAAAAAAGAACTTATCATTGAAAATTTAACTTAATTTAAATTAAAATTTTCTGCTCTGCAAAAGACATTGCCAAGAGAATGAAAAGATAAGCCACAGACTTCGGATAGAATATTTGCAAAACAGATTTCTTATAAAGAACTGTTATACAATATATACAAAGAACTCTTAAAACTCAACAATAAGAAAACAACCCCATCAAATCATAGGTCAAAGACCTTAAGGCACCTAACCAAAAAAGATATACAAATGACAAATAAGTATATCAAAGAATGTGCACATGTCATCAGGAAAAGGCAAAGTAAAACAATAAGATACCACTACACCATTATTAGAAATTATCAAAATCCAGAACACTAACCTCACCAAATGTGAAGATGTAGAATACTAGGAACACTCATTCACTGGTGGGAATGCAAAATGAAACAGTTTGGTGTTTCCTAACAAAAACTAAGCATCCTCTTACCATACAACACAGCAACCATGATGCTTGATATTTAACCAACAGAGTTGAAAACTTAGGACTACTTAGAAAATTGTACATGGACATTAATAGCAGAGTTTCATTCAAAAATGCCAAAATTTGGAAGCAACTGACACGTCCTTCATGGATAAATAAACTATGGACCAACTAGACAATAAAATATGATTCAATGATAAAAAATAAAGAGCTATCAAGCTGTGAAAACACATAAAGAAAACTTAAAAGCATAGTAAGTGAAAGAAACTGAAAAGTTTATACACAGTACGATTAAAACTACACAACATTTTGGAAAAGGCAAAACACTGGAGAAAATAAAAAGATCAGTGTTTGCAGGGGTTAGGAAAAAGGGAGGGATGAAACGGAGGGACATAAAGAATTTTTAGGGCAGTGGAACTACTCTGTATGATATTATAATGATGAATACATGCCATTATACATTTGCCCAAACCCACAGAATGCACAATGCCAAGAGAGAAAACCAATGCAGACTACAGACTTTGGGTAATAATCATATGTCAGTGTAGATCCATCAACTGTAACAAATACACCACTCTGAAGATATTGATAATGGAGAAGGGCATATGGGAAATTTCTGTACCTTCTGCTCAATTTTGCTGTGTAACTAACACAGCTCGAAAAAATAAAATCTACTTAAAATTAATAATAAAGAAGTATTCAGTAGTACTACTTTCTGCCAATCCATTTTGTCCATTTCAAAATTGCAACAGAAGGAATTTTTTATCACATAATTTAAATAATATTCAAAAGTCTATAAGGATAAAAAAGATAACTGAGAGATGCATATTTTAAGTAGATAGGCAAATATTATTTTGACTTTATTTTCATTATGTACAGAAACTTTTAATTACATTC